ACTCTAATTGACTGACAATGGGATAAAGTTAAATACCTTGACTTTGGCAATTTTCACCTCTGTTAAATTATTGTTTACTTCTTATTAAGGGATTTAAGATAATTACACAAATATTTGATATTCAATACAGAATGAAAAGTTCCTTTTGTTTATGTACAGCATGTATACCTGAAAAACCTTTATTTAAGTAGGCACACAATAAAAATGAATTGTGAAACAATTTTAAAGGTATACATATATTTGACCAAATTGCCACAAACATGTTTTGTTTCATAACCCTCAGTATGAAATTTAAAGGAATTCGTATTTTGAACATAAACAAGATTGCACCACTTCCTGTTTTACTTCTTGTATTTATAATCCTCCTTATATAGGAGCACTTAACAAATGTTTTTATCTTTAACAATTATAGAGAAAAAAAAAAAGTATTAATACATTGTAATACCTTCTGCAATGTATGCAATGTATTATTGCATCAATATGTCAGCTCCTGTTCCACTTGTTATATTTTTAAAACTCCTTACTTAGAAGCGCTTTGGTGTGAACTTTTTTTGTAACAATTAAAATGAGACTAAAGGAGCTACCATTTGGTATTTATAGGGGAGGGGGGGATGACAAATGCAGGACAAAATTTGTAATCCTAGCGCCCCCCCCCCCCCCCCCCCATACAAATCAGCTCCCTAATTAACTTCCAACTAACATCAAGAACACGTACATTAATTTCCAAAAAAGGTTTAAATACAACTAATGTTCCATATAGTGATTATTGAACTGGTAACTCTCAGTTTTAGTTGGTAACCCGGATTTGTTTTTATATCTATCGATTTATGAGTTTCGAACAGCGGTATACTACTGTTGCCTTTATTTACCTGTTACTTTTTTTGTTTTCTGCAGCATACTGTAGGTGCTCTTTTGTTAATTTTCTATACAATCTAGGTGCCCTTTTTTAAATTTTAGCGGCGCTCTAGGTGCCCTTTTTCAATTAAGTTACCATGCACTTTTTGTGTGATAGGAAACACTATTGTTGGATTTGTGTTGCTTAGACTTTAGTTTGCTTTGTTGTGTTTCTTGTACTGTTGGTCTTTTTCTTTGTTAGACATGACGTTGTCAGTTTTTCTCCGACTTGAATGTTCTTCTGGTATCTTCCCCGCGCTTTTACACGGCGTGCCTAATACACATTATAATAAGAAGATGTGGTTTGAATGGCAATGAGACAACTCTACACAAGAGACCAAATGATGTGCAATGTAGATGACTTATCATGTAGTTTCAAAATAAATGATAATGTTTTACCAAAACTATGTGGTAATATTATCGTAATGTAGATCAATATGATACAGTATCTCTTTTAATCATTATATCAATCGACTTTTAATAAGTATTCAACCGTTTGTTTTGTTTATAGACCTATCAGTGCAAACAAGCCAATAAGAATGAAACAACTGGCCAAGGTGACCATGGTTTGTGTTTTCCAATCGAAATGATATATTCACATTGCGTACATCTACGCTTCATACATGGAAATGTAATTTCCCTGTAGATTTATAGGGTCCTTGTATGATATGATTGAGACCATTTTAAACAACAGATCTTTTTCCGTACGACATGTCTTAATCAAGGAGTTACATAACAGTGAAGTGATCAAAAAACAAATATGTAGTATAGCCAAAAGTGCAACATTACGTCGAATACTATAATAATTCTTTGGTATACGTAGCAGTGTAAACTATTTAACAATTAAGTTACGAATTGGCTTATAATTCCCAGTTCTATCAACATCAATAACATATCGTTTCACAAGTATGCTATGGCTAATTTGTAGATTCTTTTTTATGTTCTCCCCGAGTTGAGCCTAATTAAGACTTTATATGACGATACTTGTGACATATGAACACGACAATTTGAAAATATATAGAAAATGTGTAATTTGGATCCGGTATATCAAATCAAGTGACGTTCGGTCCTTCATTATTATCAAGAATGTAAGCTTAACGAGTTTCTTAATCATGGATGCTGTCGTTGCAGTTGCAAATCGCTAAGAATTGATAGTGAAATTGTAAAAACCCATCTGTAGTATACGAAGAAACTGCTATGCTCAGTATTTGTGTTATTTATGTTTCCTTATTGCCTATAATGGGAGCTTTCAGGAATGTGCCAATATATTCCCAGTTGTTATATCAGTTTTCGAGACTACGATAATTGAATGAAGATTAAATCTGTCCTTCGTTAAATGTAAAGGACAGACAAGTATTATTATGACATGAAAGAGATAAGGATTCAACTTTCAGTTAACATAAAGTTAACGTTAAAGCTTCGTAAATGATATAAGTCAGAGATGGACCCATGGTCCGAGAAAAGAGGGCGTTAGTGTCTAAATTAGCACAAAGCGTAGTACGACAAATTAATATGGACAATTTTACGACATTCGTTCATGGTTTTAGATCTTTAGAATACAGTTCAGTCGTCTGATCAGTAATTTTACCGACAGTGTCCTTTTTCTCGATTGCGACATTTTGACTGGGTGATAGTTTGCATCGGTGTTTATGCAAGTTCTTCAGTTTTCAGTTGTTTCCTTTATTTGTTTCTTCCATATCGATTGGGCAACTCAAATACTTTTGTTAAAGAAGAGTCATTCATGGACCGTGTCGTAAGATTAAGAAACGATATGATTTTGTCTATAAACAGACCTTACATAGTCCAATAGATTTTAAGAGCTTTCCTAAAGAATAATAAGAATGGGAATGGAGGATATCTTTCTATGAGGGCAAACAAAATTGTTATTTATGTTTTTACAGCTGTGATTTTGTCTTATGGGTATACTTTTAAAAGACGTGTCTAATATACCCCTTGACGTTAAAATATAATAATTCGCTCTTCTATGCTACAACCATTATGTTCTGGATCACGAAAGAAGTACCACATGGAAACGTAAAATTCGTATAAGTTAATTTTCAATAAATTGTTTTATTAGACTTGGCCGAAAGATACCAGAGGGACAGTCAAACTCATAGATCGAAAATAAACTGACAACGCCATGGCTAAAAAAAGAAAAAGACAAACAGACAAATATAAGTACACAAAACACAACATAGAAAACGTAAGACTAAGCTACACGAACCCCACCAAAAACTTAGAGTGATCTCAGATGCTCCGGAAGGGTAAGCAGATCCTGCTCCACATGTGTCACCTAACGTGTTGCTGGTGTTATTACAAACCCGGTAAATAGTCTAATTCGGTAGGTCACATTCGTGAAAGGAACAGTATTGTACTTACGACATAAGGAACATGTCCGACATCATCACCAATTTGTTGCGTCGAATATTCAACCTTATATCGTTTCAGAAACATATCCGGTTGCATACGTAAACGGTCGAAAAAATATTGCCTTAAATTTAAGAGTTTTATGATATTAATCATACATTTCATTGCAGTAACGCACCAGTCTTTTTTATTTGGTTTTCTATAAAAAAAATTTCGGAAACTTGGGGTTACCATGGTTACAGAGTTACTTTTAAAAGAATTTTTAGAGAATTTTATAAAAGCTTGTGGATAGGTAATAAAAAAAGGGTGAAGTTTGATTGGTTAATTTTCAGCGATGGTCATCAATAAAATAAAGCAATAAAATGTGGTGTGAAATTTTGTCTGTAGGCATGGAATACATGGAATAATGTTAAAGGGTGTACACATGATTTTTATTACAAGAGCACACTATGTACATTCATTAATATCAATGGCGATGCATTTTATTTTCAAGAAAAATATTTACCATTCAATTCCAAGAACATAAAATGTCATTTTTAGAAAGAATACAATTTCTATATTTAAAACAGTTGTTTGAAGTTTACTTTTACAAATGCGTTACTTGGTCGTTTAGTACGAAGAAACGTAATAGTAATACTGCAGATTCTTTCATATAATAAATTCAAAAAACATACATATCTATAATACATGCACACAAAAATCTCAATTGATACCGCTGGTGTGAGTATTCGACAAAAGAAAATACTACTACACGCAATAAAAAGCATGTTAGATCAATATAATACGGAATATATCATAATGGCGCATCCGGCAGGCTCAGGTTAGGTTCCTCTGTCTAAAGGACAGAACAATACAATCAAGTTATATATGTTTTATTGCGTGTGTATATTAAGTTGTACTCAACATAAGATATGGCATAAACATAAATGAAATTGTTTAGTGTAAATAAATTTCAGAGGAACTTATTTTGGAGGTTAAAAATTGTTATATGTGTATTTCATGTATTTGGATATTAACATGGCATGTTTAAAAATGAAGAACAAAATGACACATCTTTTCAAATACCTTTTGAATATGAAAATTAATTATCTGATTGCAAATTAATTGTTGTAAATTTGCATTGACTGTACATCATTTATGGATGATGATCTGTATCTTTTGAACAAGCAAATTATAGTTTAGAAGCTGAGATGTGAAAATATGAGTTGTTTATCTTGTGGTGGAGAGTAAGAGTAAGATGGTCTTCATCGGTTTGAATACAATCATATCCCGTTTTCTGATATGTCGCGTAAACGATACCAAGTGAGAGGTTTTATTCTCATCAGAATGAGCATTTGTTATTAAAAAAACAAGTGAAATTATCTCTGGTTTCTGATTTGCCGATTAAACGATAAATGCCAATAGTAGAGCAGGTTTAACTAAACATGATTTGCAAAATTAATGATATGTTCACATGATCAATGATTTGCAAAATTAATTATATGTTCATATGATAATAATTTGCGTGTTTTTAATTCAATATAGATTAAGATAGATTAAAGTTTGAATTTGAATCCATTGAAAAATGTTTAAAATAATATTTTAAAATATCAATGCATGCCAGTGTGTAGTTATCTATCAAATCTATAAGATTGTGTACATTGTGTCATTAAGTGAACCATAACATAACCTACCGACTTTTTGTATTATGGATACTTTATAGAATTCATAACGCGCACTATCCATTAGTACATAAGACTACCTATGAATTGGTTATCACATATCTGATCTATTGTCAGAAACAATCATATATTAAATTTAACACATTTATGTAGGATTAAAACTAAAAATGGAAGGTAATTATTTAATTTAAGAGACATGTTTTTATTTTGATATCATATGTTTGGGACTATAAAGCCATTGACTGAAATATTAACATCACTTCTCTGGTATTATAGACCAACTATAAAAAAAATACTTTTTTGTAAGTTCAAATGGTCGGAATAAACAATTAAACTTTTAAAAAAATCAACCAAAAAAATCTATTGTGAAATTGCATTTTTCTGACATCTATTTCGCGTTATTATTATTATTACATATAGCAACAATATATATAATAAATATATAATCAAGACACTCCAATTGATACACATAATTACGTGTGATCAATTAAACATCGTTTTCGCTTATTTTGTGTAATTTTCTTATGCACACACATATTATAAGTCGATTGCAAGTCTCAGGAATAATTCCTCTATTCGTTTGCTCTAAATTAAATATATGCAACAATTTTTAAACCTTTGAAAGCATCTGAACCAATAAAGGACAAAGCAATAAACATGTCTTTTCGGTAAAACTCAAGGTCGATGCCAACATATGTAACATGTCGAACATATGTGCCACTACACATAATTCAAGCAATTATTATATAATTACCATCCCATTATGGTTTTTGTTTTTCAAACCAGAAATAATGATGTTCATTTAAAGAATTCCAATCTTATGACACAGTAGAATTTTTTTATATAAACTTAATTATAATTCTGTTATTTGCTATACGAATAGTTTAAAGCATTGTCATTAAAATTATTGTTACCAATATTTCCTTACTTATATTACGTAACATAAGCTAGGTTAGCAAACTTGATGATCTTTCTTTGGTTTAAGTATAATATGAACGCTAAAAAGTATCTGCGCACGTCAAAAACATTTGGCTAAATTTGACATGCTTTCTCAAACATAACAAAAACTTAAATTTTGTAAAACTTTGAACGAATAACGATGGGCTTTAGTTCATTTTGACCAAGCCACGATACAACTATAATTGATTTGACGCAAACAATAGCAAAATACAAACATTTAATATTTTCCTACTCTTTTGTGAAAAAAATCATTTTCATAGATAAAGGTGTACACGTTTCAGTGTCCTTCACAAACATACATATTTGGGCGAACAGTTATGTTATATGGACACATTTGGAGGATAAGATAATTAATCGCTGTCGGTAATACTCATGATACTGATATAGAGTATATAATATTCAGATGAGTAATATGTCATCTCAGGTGTATCTAATTAAATTTTATAAATATTCCTTCTATATTGCTTTTGAATTTATTACAGATGACTTATCGAAATGCATTTCGTTAGCTCTGTACCAATATATGTGTCAAAACATAGTGGGATCAGAAAATTATGTAAGGACAATACGAATGATGAACACTGTTAGGGACAATTTAATTATCAACGATGAATGCGTTCCTATTACCGGAGGAAGTTTTGGAGAGGGACTTGATTTACGTGGGGGTGACATTGATATCGTATATGCGAACAAATATATCGAGGTTTATGAAGGTCGGAAATTCGCTTTTGATTATCGCAAAACATATTTGAAAATGGAAACTGAGACAACACAAGCAGGCTACACTATGTTACATTGTATATTTACTAACAATAACAACGCATTGCAATGCTGTGAGAAGATAAATGGGAAATATTACTTTTCAAACGCATTATTTAAACAAAGGTTTTTACTCGATCAAAACATGCTTATGGTTATTCATGGACCTTGCCTTTCGAATGAACAGGGAGACTATGACTTTGCACAAGCATTGCATAGTAAATTATGGATATCTGCTGCAAAAAATTGGATAACAAGATCAAAAAACGTATGGCCAAGTTATGAAGTCAAGCATAGTATTGTAAAACATGGTGTATTGTTTGTTCCAGTAGGCTATAAGGGATCTCCAAGCGAAGAACTTCAATGGAGGATATCCTTCAATGTGGGTGAAAAACTATTAATCTATACCTTTACTCATTCACAACTGCTCTGCTATTGTCTTTTGAAAATTCTTCTGAAAGACGTCATAAATGAACACATGGACGTAAAGTATCGTGAATTACTCTGCTCTTACTTCCTAAAAACCATTATGTTTTGGGTCTCAGAGGAAGTACCACCATCAATATGGAAACCAAGAAACCTGTTATCTTGCTTTATGAGATGTTTTAGCAGATTGATTTATTATGTCGAATTTTCCGTTTGTCCGCATTACTTCATTCCACAAAACAATTTGTTTGCGAACAGAATCATAGGACATGCACGCAAGGTTTTGTTAGAAAGACTTTGTTCATTATATAAATCTGGATGGGGATGTTTTAAATTTTCATATTCACTTTTTCTCCCGCGAGTCCGAAGATTTTATACTGAGCCTTGTATGAAATATTTAGAAAGAATTAAATTAAGTGTGTCTAATCTAATTCGAACAGACGCTTCTTTGATAGACTCATTTAGTTGTTCATGTTGTTTACAAGGGGCTATTACAGGAATGCATCCGTTGCTTTCATATAAAAATCCTAAAATACTGTATCTTTACAGATATAGCATGTCGATGTTATGTACACAAAAAGCCCAATTGATACCATTGAAATGTATTGTTGGGAACAAATACTGCTACATGAATTACAAAGCTATCCAGTATAATTTGTTGCAGAATATTTACCATGATGCTGTATCTGGTTGGCTTATGTTAGCTTCGTTTTTCTATAGGACAGAGCAGTACAATAAGGCAATTTATATCATATCGAACTGTGTTAACGTAAAGTTATATCCAAATTCAGAAATGATACAAAAATACATTAAATTGTGTACCGTGAAATCATTCCAAAAGAGATTATATCCTTTGTTGAAAATAGAGATTTGTAACGTAGTGCGGTTTAAATCAAAGTCTACGCTTATACCTCAAGAATTACAAATGGAAGTAGAAGACATATCACATTGTTTCCCATCAACTTCTTACACTCATTTTCTCCGTTTTCTTTGTCATTATCACATGGTCAATCTTATAGAATGTAATGAATCTCTGAGAGATCTTCAAAGAACTATAACGAGTTCAGACCGTTTAGACACTCCGACGTCAAAAGCTTTATCTTTCATATGCCTTGGAATAGGATTTCAGTTGCTTGGAAATAAAGATTCAGCTAGGAAAGCTTTTAATCAGGCGTTTAAATTTGAATCGTTTGGTGTAAAAAAAATTGCTAAAAATCGACTATTGATGATACAGTAGTTTTAACATTACTCTGTTATATCAACGTGGTATGTTTAAAAGTTTATGATTTTTACTTCGTATCAACATAAGATTGAAAGTTCATATCTGATTACAGTTAATGCCATATTGATGTAAAGTTTTTTGCCACTTGTTCTGATTGTAGGACTGGAAAATTTGTTCTGTTATTTGAAGAAAATCATCAAAATTATCAAATGCAGACAAATTAAGGCTTCATCTATTGTATGGACTATTGTCTATTGATAAAAGCTGAGTGATGTTCCATAAATGTCTTGAGTAATATCTTTGTGTGGTTTAGTTGTTGTCTTTAAATGAATACCCCACATCTCCTTTTATACATAAAAGAACATATTTTGTTTTACCTGAAAAAAGTATATATAACGAGTATACATTTGTGTGCTTTTTCTTGAACATTTTTTTTTTGGGGGTTTATTCTTAGATTGATAGTATACAAATAATGGAACTTAAAAGGGAGGGAAAAAATGAAAATTGCGTGTCCTTGTTTTTTGGGATATAATCAATTGAAAAACTGTTTTATAAACTATAGCTAGTCTAACAAATGAAATGTTAGTTGTAAATTAATAGAAATTAGGAGATAAAAATGGAAAATTCTTAAACAGTGACAAGTGATAAAAAGTGCAATAAAATGGCCATTGCTTAGATTATATCTATCGAATGAGCTGATTGGTTCTGTTTTAAACATTGCTTAATAAAGTCAATGATCTATTCCAGAGCACATGAGATCACCCCAAGCTTTTTGTGGGGTTCCTATTGCGCAGTTTTTATTTTATTATGTTGTGTTTTGTGTACTGTTGTTTGTCTGTTGGTATCTTTATTATTCTAGACATGGCGTTATCAATTTATTTTCTATTTATGACTTTAAATGTCCCTTTGGTATCTTTCACCTCTCTTCTAGTCACTTATAGAATACATTGAACAAAACCAAATAAAGGACATCAATAGAAATGTTTATGTGTCCTTTGAACTGTAAAATTGAAAGCAAGAATATTATCAAGGTCACGGTAGGTTATTAAATTTGTAGGTCCGAAAATGTGATTCCTAACAATACAGGAACACGTCTGCTATAATAGGGGTGCCACAAGTGCCCATATGATTACCCCTATTCTGATTTACTTTAAAGCCGAAACTTTTAAAGATGAGAAAATTTAAAGTTTGAATTATTTCTTTATAATTCCAGTAAGTATATCTGTTCGAATACGGATCTGTGGTATGACTCCTAAATAAAACAATTATCAATCAGATACCCAATAACGTAGATATAAGCAACTACGGGTCACATTACGGCCTGCAACAATGAGAAAACCCCATAACAAGACAAACTATTAAATAATTCAGTCGAAAACACCAACAGTCTGACAAAACCCTAAACGAAAAACAAATTGACAGACAGCAACCTCTAAATTACAGGTGCCTGAATTCGGGCAAACAATACAGAATGTGGTGGGGTAAAGACATGTTTGTGCTCACTCAACCCACCATTCTACTCCGATAGTGGCATATTAACCTTTTGATTACAGAAGAAAGCTTACCAAACCATGAATATGAATTGCAGCAAAATAATTTCGATCGCAATTTTCGCATGAATCATCAGATTGAATCAAAAATCTTTCTTCGGTAATATAGTGTGGGAGTAAAGTGTAGAGAGGTGGACAAATCATAACCTTCAACAGCACGTAATATATCTTAAACTGCCATATTCGTTCCTTGTTTTTAATGGAACAACTGTAAATACGCTATGTACTATAAAATTCGTTCAACAGTATTGTTAAATCTATATAAACTAAAATATTTAATTACTTATTAAAATGATTGGCCTGCATTGCCGATAGACAATTCTTCCATTCCGGTTATCTTGTTTATAACAAAAAATATAATGGTTGACTCAAGGTTGTTTTTTTCCTTCATGTTTATTTGGAACTGTTGACTACAAACATAATGTTAAGAACACGTAAACAGCATTTATTTTTTGTTAGCCAAATCAGTATTACTTTATTAAATATACGTCTATTTATAATTTATATGTTTTATCTCTATTTTTGGTTAAAAAAATTGACAAACCGTTTTTCGTGCATGATATGAGTTTCTTAAATTGGTCGAACTTTTCATTAGGTACGCTTAAGCCATTGTTTATGACAGCCAGGTAAATACTGCTACTTTTTGAGGACCAACAAGGGGTCTTTACTAACGTAACATCAAAACTGTGTATATTCCAACTTAGCCTGTAGAAGTTTTAAACAGCTGTGTTTAATTTCATATAGTACAAACAGAGTGGAATTAGTTCAGAGATCTTTTTTGTTGGTTAATTTGTGCACTGAATGCTAATGAATGACCACCCTCTAAGCGTTTTTGAAACCTCTATGAAATATTGAACAGAAGTTTTTACTTTGAGTCAATGGTATAGTCGTATTTCTGGGGAAGTCATGTTATACTTAAAAATTAAAGTTGTACGTGTTAGGGTTTTATTGAATTGCCTCCATATATTGACCTGATTTTAGGGGTTCATACATCATCAACAGTCAGTTACATATCGAAATCGCGTATCATTTTTGGAAATCTACTTCTCATCAAATGACTGATAAAGTACTTGTGTAATTCCACAGAGGTGGAGGGGACAGTTGGCTAGCGTATCGTCTTCTTTATTTTATATGAATAGGATATCAATAAAAGAAAATGTTTAGTAATCCGTAACTCAATCCAACAGTTCAAAAAAATAATATATTTCGTAGTCAATATCATTTGTTCTTATACGTCTCAAGTGGTTGTCAAGAATTTGCCAACATAATTTCTTTAATTGGTTCAGTTTCAAAGCTGAACTAACCCCATGCAAGCATTTAAAAATCCCCTGTCTTTTTTAATATCATACACAACACTGTGTGAATAGAAATATTTTGTTAAGGTTAATATATGTAGATTACTCGCGGTATTTAATAGTTTATTGCTTCATTATTATTCGACTATATTTAGCTCTACATTTACCTATGTTGTAAATATTATATGCCGAAACGAGTCTATTAGTATATGTATGTGTAATCTATTCGGGATAGAACACAAAGCAGTAGAATAAAGCATAACAAAACATATAGCCTTACTGTATTTATTTATCCGTCCTGATCAATGCATACGTAATAAGGTTTACTGATTCGCACAATGAATATTAATAATTGACTATTTATGTCTCATTATGATATGTCCATTATACTTTCATATATTTGCGAAAACAATATCATAGTATAAAGAAAAATCAACACCGATTGGAAATGGCAGGTAATTGTTTAATTGAAGAGACATACATATTTCTTATCAACTATTTTTGGATCATAAAACAATTGAATTCCAATATCAATTTTTATTATACTGTACTTTTTGAAAAATAATTTGAGAAAGTATAATTTATATATGTCAATAAAAAAAAACAGGTTGCAACGTTAACATATCGAGGAATATTTTTACAGTGAATTTGTCATGAAATGGTTTGTACAATTGACCAATATTGATGCAAAAGGCGCTTTACCGGTGCAATTCGTGCATATTAGATTTATGCGAAAGCTTTGTGGAATGAAACCGCAAAAATAATATGCCGCCGAAATGTCCTTGTATATAGTATTCATGGTATTATAAATCATGTGAATTCTACTTGAAGACCAATAACATTTTTTCAATAAATCTGATTAAATTTTGTAAGACCACCTATGGGTGTATGATTTTGATAATTGACAAGTGAAGACAATTAACATTCCGAAACTGACAGTGAAACCTAACAATCAGACGCACGTTAAGAATTTCTTATCAAACGTATAAATAATCTTTTCCTAAATAATTTGTTGAATGCCTGCCTCGTGTACGTTTGGTGTCAGCGGATATAGCCTATGGAGCAAGGAATCTGTGTTTCTTTCCTTCATATTTCTTTGTTATATTTGTTTTTTGTTTTTTGTTAGTTTTTTTTTTTTTGAAAATCAAATATACGAATTTTATATGCAAGAATATATGGTTAACAAATTTTGCAACTAGAAATAGAATAATATACAAAATATATGTTTATGTTTCAAGTGGTCGTTTAATGTTTGCTTTAACATGTTTAATGATATTTCTGTATAATAAAATGACATTGTCGGAGAGTTTATCACAGTATTTGTAAGATGTTTTTCCTTATTATAGAAATGTTGATGCTACCCTGCATCTCACTAAGTCTTCAATACATATGTGCAGCGTTTTTGACAACTGACAAAGATTTGTCTCCAAGCAATACTAAGGCGTGCATGAACTTATGTAGAGTTTTATATATTATTATGTTACCTTTATGAACTGCCAATCCTGTGTTTTGATGAGTATTCTTTTCATAGGAATAAGGACTTATCTGTTGTTACCAGCTTTGAATAAGTCACCAAGAATGTCATACGTAAAAGGGAGGCGAAAGATATCAAAGGAACATTCAAACTCATAAGTCAAAAATAACTGAAAACGCAATGGACCAAAACACAACAATAATATACAAAACACAACACAGAAAACTAACGACTGGGCAATACGAACCCTACCAAAATACGGGTGGTCATCTCAGGTGCTCTGGAGAAAGTACGGTTCACTTATTCGGTAAAAAGGCACAAAGTTAAGTTTTATAATCTATTTCAGAACGGACAACTTCAAACACATTATCAATATTGACAGGGAAACAATGTTCATGAAAAATTATGATATGAACCATGACAAATTTAATATAAGCCGTGCCAAATATGATATAAGCCATGACAAATATCGAGTCCCTTAACTAATATGAACGTCAATCGAGCATGCAAACTTTTGAGATTTTCAACTTTTGGCAACTTCTTAGTATAATATTGATTAAAATATATATTTGCATTTTATTCTAATTTTTAATTTTGTATGGTTGGCTTATGTTTGCTTCGTTTTTTATAGGACGAAACAATACATTAAGGCAATGAATGTTTTATCGAATTGTGTATATTTTAAACTGTACCCACGGTTAGATTTGGAGTACTCAAATCTTCAATTTTACAGCGTGAAAACATTTCGAACGAATTTTTTTTCCGTTAACGAAAATGATGCTAACAGATGGCATGTTTTTCCATTCAAAGTCAACTCTTATACCTGAAGAATCACAAATGGAAGTAGAGATTAGGCAATTATGTTTACCACCGACTACGTATACTCATTTTCTACGCTTTCTTTGTCATTATCATCTGAACAATCGTAGAGAAAGTCGTGATTCTCTCAGGGATCTTCAAATGACTGTCACAAAGTCATATCGTATACATGATTCGACGGCAAAAGCCTTGTCCTTTGTATGCATCGGAATAGCGTTTCAACGTTATGGAGATGACGATTCAGCTAAGAAAGCTTTCCATCAGGCGTATGAACTTGAATCGCGGGGTGTTAAAGACGTAGCTTTAAAACTGCTCACGTTGTTAAAGTAATTCTAACATTATTTTTGTCAAGGATGCAACCACGGTGTGTTAAAAATTGTAGGAATTAAAGTTCGTTCACAATACAGTTCAAATTCATTTATCCAATCAGAAAATTGGTGAATGATTAACATGAACTCAAAAGGTAGCAAGAACGAATGCATCGACAGCAGAGTCAGTGCTTACTGCTTGACATGCATCTTCCACCTTGCTTTTCCAGACCTATTCAATTTGTGATTGCAAAACCTTTAGTAGTTCAGTCGTTTGTCCTCATAACCAAACAAAAAAAAAACGTGATTTCATAAATATATTTAAACTTAAATAGATATATGAAAGTAAGAAAATGTGATATGATTGCAAACTATCCACTATAGTTCAAATGAAATGGGTTTAAGCAATTATAGGCAACCATTTAGTCTTCAACAATGAGAAAATCCCATACCGTATAAATGGTATAGTCGGACATAAAAGGCCCCGACATGACAAATATAAAACAATTCAATTGAGAAAACCTAAATCAATTTACGAAAAACAAATATGACAGCCATGAACCATTAATAACCCCTGAACTACAAGCTCCTGACTTGGGACAGGCACATAAAGAATGTGGCGGGATTTAACATGTTTGTGAGCGCTTAATCCTCCCCTAACCTGGGACAGTGGTATCACAGCACAACATAAGAACAAACTAAAAATAATCAGTTTAAAAAGGCTCAACTCATCAGATCGATACAAAGAAGAAAACATCTAACAAAAATACGGACCAGACATGGCAGGGTATTTATACATCTATCAACAAAAAGACACAAAGCACAGATCTGAGAGTACTCACAGTTACTGACAGCTAGTTCAAAGCCAATAACAACTAATAAAAGAAATTATGTATCTTAGACTAAAATATCAATCAGTACACATCCAACATCTGATGGATTTAGTGTAAAGACGTCATTAATAGTCAGGCGAAAATATGACCTTGTGCAATGTCAAAATATAGGTATCGACAGATTGTAGTACCTTGACAGTGCATATGTGTATAACAATACTATTTAATATGATTTTAGTTTACTGATAATAAAAATCAATGTTTATACCAATAGAAACAATATTTACAGTTTTATCTAGTTTGCAGGTAACCGGCGTATATATACATGAGGCTAGCCTGCAACGATATGCATGAGATGAGTCGACGTCCGATGAAGTGCTGTTGGTAAATAGAGATTAAGATAATAAAAATAACCTTTTGCTTCATATACGAAATATATCTGTTTATAACTATATACAATGTTTTATCAATAGGCAACTTCTGAAATTGGAATTGAACAACATTGATAATTAACTTCAAAGTAAATAGAAAAGGAATGCCTCAAACTGTATCAAACACAGACCGATTTCTTAAACATAATATGAAATAATAATAAAAAAAGATGATAATAATTTAAGTAAGATATAGTGCAAAAGCGATTTAATGTGCAAATGATTCTCTAAAGCAAGATATCACATGATCATACAGAAAAAAGCATGAAAACGGTTCTTTATATTATGTGTGTATCCCGTAAATTGAAATTCAGTTATTTTTATTGAATTCATGTTTTTATAGTTATACAGTACAGATATAAATATGCTCTATGTTAGCATTCCTTTCTTATTTACTTTTATTTTCAGTGTTTAACAAGACTTACAAGACGCAGACCTTGCAGAAGATACATATTGAGTAAAGCGTTAAGTAGATTTAAATATCAGAACCAAATTGGATATGATGTACAACAAATTTTGTTGTTATTATTATTATAATAATTTCTTACCTACAACACCTTATCGAACGCAGATCATCTCATAAATAGTACTAGTATCATCTTACCTCCTATACATTTCTAGGAATATGATTGGTTAAAACCAACCGCGTGGAGACCGTGTATATTCCATATTAGGTTAGTAGGCGGAACTTTTTTCAATACACGGTTAGTAGTGGTGTTACGTCCCTTTATAAAAACAACACGGTGTTGAGGTAAAATCTTAAAAGGTTTCAACAGACGAAAGAATTGATGATGAACGATTGAAATAATTCATAAAACAAATTTAAAGCTAACAAATTGTTATTGTTGGCATTTGTTTTTGTATAGACCAATTGAAGTAGGTTCATTTACTAACGTATTGAAGACTTGCTCACTTTGATAGGCCACAAGTCTATATACCACAAGTTAAGATAGCCGGTAAGATAAATTCGTTACATAGTGTGCTAGCGACCTAATACGATATATATGGGGTCAGTAAATTCCATATGGGGATTCAAGCTTCACTCTCATCCCATATGGAATTTACTGACCCCATATATATCGTATTAGGTCACTAGCACACTATGTAACTAATGTTGCTGGTTGGTTTTATACGATTATATGAATAACATCACACTAGTCAGGATGTTCATAGATTTTCAAGAATATTCTACTAGGTACTTAGTATTTGTAAAAGTCCTTTAGAATCTTTCATGTGCTTTTTTGGATAGAATAGCTTGTTTTCATCAAATTTTATTTATTGAATCTATGTAATCCAGTTTCGTCGTTTTATGTTTTATAAAGATCACATTAACATTAGCCGTGCGTATAAATCATAAACCACACTTTCCATCGCTACGTGGTTTAAAACTCAGATAAATTAAACTAAATCCTCAGGTGTCAGTAGTTACATAAATAAACTTCATTTTCACATGGAAGTTAAACAGTCTGATGCTTGAAAATGCCATACTTAATATTTTTCGTTTGAGTTACTTTAAACTTAATATTTCAAATATGGTATGAATGAAAAAGAGAGGCCAAAGGGACATTTAAACTCATAAGTCGAAAATAAACTGACAACGCCCAAAAACGACCAAAAGACAAACAACAGTACACAAATGACAACATAGAAAACTAAAGACTGAACAACACAAACCCCAGCGAAAAGCGGGGGTGATCTCAGGTGTTCCGGAAGGGTAAGCAGATCTTGCTCCACATGTGGCACCCGTTTACTGAAGATGTGGAAAAAAACACAATTCTAATTTGAGTGTTGAGTTACCCTACGACTCTATTACTATATGAGACAATAATAAAAGAGTATTTTATCATGGAATTATGCATGATATAGCTTTCAAAAGGAGTAGAAATGAATGTAATGATTGGTCAGAATGCGTTTTAAGATATTTAAAAAACCACTGATGAAAAGTTTTTTATCTATTATAAATCAGAGCATGTGATCCTACTTTTCGTCAATCATTCCGCTTATATGATTGAAAGACTTTCGATTCATTATTTCAGAATATGACGAATTGTTTATTTTTTATTTTTGCTTGTACACCAAAATGATGCAGCATTAATCAATTTCAGTATGTTTAACCATTCACAACGTTGCCATGTACACTTTTAAAATAGATACCCAGAATGCATTAGATTCAGAAACGGTTAATCGACTATCTTTTTTGATAGATGTTCTGTCGATCGTCAGGATAAAAACAGAGTAACGACGAAAACACTTTCAAACTAATAACGGGAGTGCTCCGGAAGGGTAAGCAGATCCTGCTCCACTATTGCCATCCCTGGTGTCGCTCATGGTAAGTACACATTCGGTAATAAGTCTCACCTTATCGCATGCGATCTTTTGTAAGATAGCTTACTAGTAAATTCAAAAATGTTTTCCTGAATTTATATTGCAAATTGTTGGGCAACCAAACGCAGAAGGTTCTTTGTAGCGTTTCAGGAAAGGCCGTTCACAAATAAAACTATAATAACTTTTAATGAAATACCTGTCTGTAATTGTTTCCCGCGTTTCGCAACACTTAACAAACATGGCAAAGTTCTGCATTTACAGTATCATATAAGTAGAATAGAAACTTGGTCATATGATTACTATTATGAAAAAGAGTTGCTAAAGACCAATGCTGATACTATAATCTATATTAACATAAAGAGTGTGAATTGTATTTCTATGCAAAAATCTGTTATCCACTGTAAAAAGCAAAATAAAAAAAAAACGAAATTCAAAACAGAAAGTTACTTATCATATGGCAAAATCAAAAGCTCAAACACATCAAACGAATGGAAAACAACGGTCATATCCCTGACCTAGTACAGGCATTCCTTTGTGTAGAAATGTGTGGATTAAACCAGGTTTTATAGCTAGCTAAACCTCTCATTTTTGTAAGAGTACATATTTTGATATCAATGCCTGACATAGCTTTAAGTTTTTTTTAAAGCGCTTGGTTTCGCCTCGTTTCGGTATTACTATGCATTTGGTTTTCCATGTTATATATTTCTGTCCATTTGACAAAGTATTTTTTCGTTCGTTCAGGTGGTTTGTTCGTTCTTGGTTACGGGAAAGTTCAGTTTTTGTTCTTAACGAAGCAACATAAATTCATCAAATTAATATCCTAACAAAGAGAGGCGAAAGATGCCAAAGGGATATTCAAACTCATAAGTCGAAAACAAACTGCTGAGGTATGGGTTTTGCTCATTGTTGAATGCCTTATGTCGACCTATAGTTGTTAACTTCTATGGCATGTGCTATTTTGTGGAGAGTTGTCACATTGGCAATCATACCACACCTTATTATTTTTGTATTGACAATGAAATGGCAAAAAAAGAGAAAAAAAAAAAACAACAGAACACAAAACAGAAAACTAAAGACTGAGAAACACGAACATCACAAAAAAACGGGGATGATATCAGGTGATCCCAAAGGGAAAGAAACGAAATATAATTATCTTTTGTTTACTTTTCAAGTTCATATACATTTTTACATCAACTGTGACAATTTACAACAACTTTTATCAAAATAATGCAATTTCATTACAAACTTAACTCATGGCACCTTCATTTCACGTCCCTGAATTCAACAGTTCCTAGAAACACTTTATAATTCTGGGACTAACGATTATCTTTACATTATGGTATCGTTTTAAGCATTGTGCAATTTACTTTAAGTGCAACCAGTATCACGTAAAAACATCTTCTTCGGTAGTATAAAACATTGCTTTTCCTGGAAATTTTCTTTCATCGGAAAACCCATTTATCTCCCCTGTGCGCATGTTTCTCGATACAGCTTGAACAACCGACATGTAAGTTTCTTGTATCTTCAACTCGTGACCATACTTCTTCAATTCTTCTAAAATGTCCTGTAATTGAAAACAGCTGTGTTTAAAAAAATACAACGGAATACCAAAATATACAATTGAATACCAAAATCTGGCATATTCTTCAAATACTAGTAGGTCATTATTGATTTTGAACTTAAATGTCTTTGTATTGTGATTTTTTTAAGATGTAAATTTTCGAACATGTACAAAATGAAGTGATATACAAACGGGTAATAGAAGCATTGAAATGCTTATTAAAGATTCTTGTCCTGTTAAAATTTTCACATTTACACATCATTTTGATATCTTACTAAGACAGCAAATATAAATGTACATGCCTTTTCTTTTGTTATACTTCAGTGAGAAACAAACTATGATTAGGTGATTATTTTGCATTTCAATTAAATTTTCATCTGTGTATAAGTTATTAACAATATACTTGATTGATTGAATGATTGGTGTTTAACGCCACTTTCAGCACTATTGTGCTATTTTGTGGCGATCAGTTTTTATTGGTGGAGGAGGCCGGAGAGAACTACCGACCTTCGGTAGGATAACTAACAATCTTAGTCAAATGAAATTGGAGTCGAGCGCACCTGCCACGTGCGGGATTCTAACTTACAACCTCAGTGTTGACAGGCTAGTGATACAGTAGTTCGACTACTTAGACGACTTGGCCACTCACCCCCCCCCCCCCCCCCCCCCCCCTATGGAATTTGAAAGTAACGCTAAAAACACAAAAAAATCGGCAAATAGTATGCATCTATTGTCCTATTTGAACTCAATTGTATGTCCTACAGTTGAAATTGGTACAATGAAGATGTCAACTTCAAAGTATCATATAAAATTGTTTCATATTTCTATCAATTCTTCATATACACAATACATCTTGTCAAATTTAAATTACAAGGACGCCATTTTATGGTAAGAATTATACGCATTGTTTCCCTGTGAAGTTGACATTGGCACACTGAAGATGTCAATTTCAAAGTATCATATAAAATTGTTTCATATTTCCGCATCAATTATTCATATACACAATACATTTTGTCAACATAATATTACAACGACTATTTTTTATAGTATGAATTATACGCATGGTTTCCCTATGATTCAGATGCCTCACATTCATAACAGGTCTTTTTGTAAACTTCATGAATAGCTGAACATTTCAAATTATGTTAACTTAGTTAATGAGTTACTGTCGTTTCTGCAAGGTCTTCTCCTAGTGTTACATATATATTGTGAAACGTTAAGACGTTTATTGTATTGTATACAAATTTGTCATTGAAAGGAAGTGCATTTCTATAAATATACTTATTGATATCATTTAAAAAAAAAATTTCTCACCTGTGGATATCCAAACTCGTAGACTAGATAATTAGGGTCAAGTTGATGATGTAATCTCTTTTCCCGGACTGCATCATCTATGTCCTGCCCCATCCATAAATTTCTAACGGCTACCTATATAAAAAACAAATTGCATACTCAATAACGTATTTCGTAGTTCACCGTCTTGATGGCTTTAGTAATGAAAAATTTAAAGGTTTAGTCCCAAAAATAAACAATCTCTTGATAAAAAGTTACATTAAAAGCTGAGAATGAAATTACCTTTGAAATATCGTCACTTAACATTTTCTTGATAATCATTTGGCTGAATCTATTTCATGCATGTACGAAAACAGGAGCCTGGATAGATAAGCAACAAGTAAAAACAACCCTATAGTATATCTTGCTAAATGTGAATGCCTAGTTTATATAAAATAAAATCAACCTGTATATTTGTTGTTGTTATTCGAGATCCTCCTGCATTGCCGATAATCATTTTTACACTTCCGGTTTTCTTGTCAACAAAAATGGCTGGTGCCATGGATGACAAAGGCCTTTTTCCTGCTTGTACTTTATTTGGAACTGTTGCCTACAAGTAAAATGTAAAGTTAATCAAACAAAAACAAAATTAAAACCATTGATAGCGAGAACTGTAGTAAAAGAACGTCTATTTGTATTAAGTTTTAATCTACCATTAAGAGATAGACTTCTTCGCTTCTGGACTGGGCCTATTCTTCATCGGGTACAATCAAGGCCCAACGTTAAGATAACTACGTACATGCTAATATGTATGGTGTATCCCAAAGGGGTCACTGCTTAACAACAAAATCCCTTTGTGTGCCGCTGCATGATCAGTAACGGAACGACCATTTAACCCGGAGGGGAAAGAGGTATAGTTTTTCTCTACAAATTATTCTGATTCCCAACATTGAAAAAATAATTATTTTGATCAAACAGAATGAAAACAAAAATCTAGATCCGAGCTTTTGCCTTTAAATTTGATGTTCAGGTCTAGAAAAATTTCCTGCGCTTTCATGCCAAAAAGCCATATACATATTATACACACACAAACTTGCAGATTGTTCAAGTGGTCATCTTTAATCTAATATCCTTGGATCACAGTGATTCACTCAACACTAAACAGAGTGATTTTAACCATGTCAACATGTTCCAAATTGTATGCACGTTATGAACTAATATTTTACTAAAGAATATTATACAATCCATGCAAGTAACGAAGAATAGTTCAAGAACTGTAAAATATAACACTTTATAAATTTGGTGAGTTGGATGACTTTTCATGATGGATTCATCAGGAACGCTCAAACCAAAAATTTTAAATGTATACATACTTAATACTTGAGAAGCTGTATAACCAATTAAAAGGGAACCAAAATAAAAATAGCAAAATCTAGTTAACGTCAACTTTGCCTAAGTGAGTTGGGACCGTTTTTTTTTTATCAATTCTAATGTTTTAATCAACTGAGAATTTGATTGTTCGGAGATTCTGTAACTTTGAAAATCCTGGTCCAATACCCCTCACCCTAAACAATCATCCAAACTGTAAGTTGAAAATTGACCTGCATGTTCTTTAATCTGAATTCAAATGTACATTTATAGGCAATAAAAACCGAATCATTGATTTGATCACAAACATAAAATGTCGGCAAATACATTTTTTTTGTACATCCATAAAGGTGTCTATGTTTGTCAATGGTATAGATGCAAACTGACAAAGATATAACATTAATTCTAAAGTTGTGCATTGGATATGAACAGAAGATAGTTAATTTATGTTCTTAAAATATATAATGCAACATTTACCTTCAGACCGAAGAGATTGCTATCATCAAACAAGGAGAAATCCGCCATCTCGTTGTTCCATATTATTCCAGTGGTCTCCGAAACCGTTAAAGATCCGAAACTAATAAAGAAACAAGTGTGTGTAAATTTACTTTAACAAACTATCTGATTTTAAAGTAAACGCCATTTAGAAACAACAAAAAAACATGACATATAAATCGAAAATGTGGTACCAAACATAATTATAAAATGGTTTTAATTATTTTTCTTGATATTCTAAAGTCTACAGTCTTAAAAGAATAATAGAAATTGTACACAAACGGTGGATTCATCTTTGTAATTCTATTTGCGATACATCTAGCTTCGAATTATTGTTTTACTCTTTCAACTATTTTCTAAGTTATATTCTTACTATGTATTAACTGTGCTCGTTACGGATACAGCATCCCCTTCCGGACTTAAGACGCTGACATGCGCAGTGCCTTGGTCATGTGCTGCCTCAGTCGCATTTGCATAATATTCTATATCATGAGTTTTGGTAAGATCTATTTTTCCACGTAAATATGCAGCGAATTCTTCAGATATCATCCTTTCTACAAGCTAAAAATATCAAAATTGTATTTATTTTCATGTTTTTGATTATAATGAAGATTGGGATGTAAAATTATATCTAAAAAGTTAAATCACAAAATTACTGAAGTCCGAGGAAAATCCAAAACGGAAAGTCCCTAATCAAATGGCAAAATCAAAAACACAAACACATCAAACGAATGGACAACAACTGTCATATTCCTGACTTGGTACAGGCATTTTCTTATGTAGAAAATTGTGGATTGAAACTGGTTTTATAGCGCTAAACCTCTCACTTGTATGACAATGAAAATGTATATATTTTTGTTATGATAATTGTCCGTCGTATGAAAAATAACAAATTAACGAGCAGTTACAAATACCACAATACAAAAACAGCAGCGAAAAATACAAAGACATGTGGTGAAACTAGAAAACAGTTGTCATACATGTACAACAATAATTTTTATAGAATACATCCCATTATTACTAGGTAGATATCGATAAAATCGCAAAACGCATAAAAGATACCATGCATATAAATGTGTACGCCACACGCGCGTTAAGTCTTCAAAAGACTAATCAGTGACGCTGGAATAAAAACAAGAATGTGTCCATAGTACACGGATGCTCCACTTGCACTATCATTTTCTATGTTCAGTGGACCTTGAAATTAGGGTCAAAACACTAATTTGGCATTAAGATTAGAAAGATCATATCATATGGAACATATGTACGAAGTTTCAAGTTGATTGGACTTCAACTTCATAAAAAACTACCTTGACCAAAAACTTTAACCTGAAGCGGGACAGACGAATGAATGGATGGACGAACGAACGAACGGACATCCGGACGCACAGACCGAAAAACATAATCCCCATAAATGAGGCATAAAAAGTTAAAAGGCCAAATAGATGACTGATTATTGATTGGTGGTTTTTAAAGCCACTTACGGTACTCTTGACTACATCATGGTTTCAAGTTGTATTGGTGGAAGAAGCCGGAGTACCAGGAGAGAACTACAACATTCGACAGGAAAACTGGCAATCCTGGTCAATTGAGATCGGAGTGGAACACACGTGCTTCGAACTCACAACCTCCTTGTTGACAGGCCAGAGATCACTGTAGCGGAAATACTTAGACCACCCGGTCAACGAGGCCTTTCAAGTATCTCTAGTGTACATGTCGATGAAACATAGCATTGCTAACGTAATCGTAACGTGACCAAAACTTTTTATGTTTATATGTTTGCATAAAAATATACTATTATCTACAATAATTTAATTTAATTACCTCTTTCACTCCATCTACAAAATCTTCATCTCCAAGCTTAAATCTTTCCCCATATGCCAATTTGATTGCTTCGATCATTTTATGAAATGCTAACGCTTTTGAGGGTGTATCTTTCAAACTGTCTGCGTTGATTCCCATGCCTTGTAAGATCAAAAAATATTTGTTTAATTGAAAACTTGCTTATATTGTTATTGGAATGTACACTTATTTAAATCAATATGACTATGGGCAACTGTAGAAAATATTAGAAGAAATAGTATTTCAGTTGTTTTATCAAGCGTTAAACGAAAATGTATGCATGTAATTGGGATTATTACAAAAGCAGTTATTTTGCAGAGTTTATTGATTTGATGCATAAACTCCGTCTTTCATTTAAAAACTAAAGAAAAAAGTTCTTTTCGTTGACTTTATTCAGTTTGTGAGTGAGTCGGCCGGTTTAAATATCAATAAAGTTGTTCAAAATAAGCTTTGTTACTATAATAACGTTGTTTTACGGACACTTACATAATTTAACGAGGATCCGGGTGTGTTCCAGAATAGAGATTAAAGGACAAAGCATACAGAACAATAGGCCCCAAAAAAATAAATACAAAACGGACCAAGATTATAAAGAATAGAGCATAGTTGGGTGTTAAATCATAACGAATAGAGAATAATGAGAAAAAACTAAAACAGAGAAAAATAGTCTATATATGGTGTTTATATATCTCAACTTGTTCGATTCGCTCATGTTTGTAACAACGTATTTGATTTCAACGAAAGAAATCTTTGTATTACTGAAAAATTATTACACCAGGGTTTTCTATATCACAAACTAGTCAAAACATTTACTAAATTTTATCATCGGTACAAGGACATCATTCGTAAATATAAATCAACATGCAGACATCTAATACGTTCAGGTATTTCACATCCAATATTTTATGGTAATATTCTTTACAAAGCACAAACATGTCGGCATTCACCTCAAAACCTAACTAAACGCTTAAACAGACTTATTCGGAAAGGATATAGTTACGATACTGTTGTCAAGTCAAGGATTGCATATTTTGGTATTAATATTGATTCACTCATAGGGTCTTTGCATCGGAAATAAACACATTTATTCTAAAACCAGTTGTTGGCATGATACGGGTTATGTTCTTCTCATATATTTTATGATGGTATGCTACTAAACCCCTAACGGGAGGGATTGTACTTGATTTTCATATGATGAAGACATAATCTTTCAATCAGTTTAATTGAGGTTTGGAGCTGGCATGTCAGTAACTGCTAGTAGTCCTTGTTCATTTATGTATCATTGTCATTTTGCTTAGTTTCTTATATTACCTTTTCTGACATTGGACTCGGACTTCTTTTAAACTGAGTTTTACTGTGCGTATTGCTATGTGTTTCTTTTTTCTACATTGACTAGAGGTATAGGGGGAGGGTTGAGATCTCACAAAACATGTTTAAACCCGCCGCATTGTTGCGCCTGTCCCAGGTCAGGAGCCTCTGGCCTTTGTTAGTCTTGTATGTTTTTTTAATTTTAGTTCATTTATATGTTTTGGAGTTTAGTGTGACGTCCATTTTCACTGAACTGGCACACAATATTATTTAGGGGCCAGCTGAGGACTACCTCCGGGTGCGGGATTTTCTCGCTGCATTGAAGACCCATTGGTGGCCTTCGGCTGTTGTCTGCTCATTAGTCGGGTTGTTGTCTCTTTGACATATTCACCATTTCCATTCTCAATTTAAAAAATTTAAAGAATACAGATATGAAGACGTTCTCCTCAAACCCCACCCCATCTCACTCAAACCAAGACCCTTAAAACTTGGGTATTCAGTAGAAGAAAGCTAAATCCAGTTCTTAAATGTTAACTTCTATGTCATTTGGTCTCTGGTAGAGAGTTGTCTCATTGGCAATCATACCACATCTTCTTATTTTTATATTAAAATTCCAAAGGAACATGAAATAAAATAAGTTTCAAGATAAGATCAAAATAAGTAAATAGTGATAAAAAAAATGTCAAACCTTCAAGAATTTTCATTGTAAGACCCATAACAGGTCCTCCGCTTGGAGCGCCATGGGTGAGCAGTATCATATCTCCTAGGTCAATCTGTATTCCAGAACTTTCTTTCACGGAATAGGATTCAAAATCTTCTTTTTGAAATATTCCACCTACACGAGTAGTAAAAGTAAAATGTCAAAGGTTTGAAATACAAGATAGTTTAAATTGACTTTCTTTTATTTATATTACGCTGTCTTTTTCATTAATTCGCACATTTGGAAGCAACATGTTATTAACCTAAGTCATTTTTGTCAGTAAGCCGATGATGTCCTTCGAGCTTCTTCAGCCATTGTTTACTCCATATCCAATAAAAACTCAAAAAACGGCATTTCAATATTAAATAAATTGATTGATTGGTTCGTGTTTGCTTTACGTCAAGTTGCAATTAATACATAAGTAAGTTCCTGTTATAGGGGTCGACAAGGATGAAGGGCGGGAAAATTCGGAATGTCACCAATGAATAAACACAATAGCCTTACTGTCGTTATGGGTACGTTGCTGTTTCAAGATTTCCTATTGTCTATCCTTGTCTCAAACATTTTGCGTAGTATTTGTTGATAGCTGACATTTTGTTGTTCGCTAAAACAAGAAGTTTGAATTTGTTCAAGACATTTAATCATATATATTTTTTTTATAAATATCATGATATTATGAACTAAATAGCATACTGACAACTGACCTAAATTCTTGATTTCCTGTGCCATAGTTTCTGCGACCTTGCCCTTATACATGTAATCAGGACCTACATCTGCTAGCTGTTTGTAAGTTTCTGCTAATTTGGGCCATTGAACAAAGCTTCCTTCTGGTAAAATTTGCCCCGTCTTATCACAGAATATTTCACTGAAAAATAGAAGAAAAAAAAAATTTTCAAATAATTTCATATTTGAATAGAGAAAGAGAGACTAGAAAAGAATTCATTTATAGGGCAACAATCACAAGTGTATGTCTAAATGAAAATTTCGTTGAAGTTCAATATTTTGAGGGTATGTTTTACCTGGAATATTCACATTAAAGTTACACCATTTTTATCACTTTTCCTTATTTTGATTACGACTATGCTGGTGCAAATAACATGTTCATGTGCTGACGCCAACCAGGAACATCGTTGTTATATCTTGTAGTGTTTTATCATTTGAGGACTTTCATATTGTTGGCACATCTTTACAAATCTTCTATATCTGTATTTGTTTGGACACAGTCTTCGCCATATTCATATGGATGTATTTTAATTATTGTGTTTTTGCAGTGTTGGGTTGCTATCTCATTGGCTTTTTATAAACTCCACATGCAAAAGTACAACATAACAAAGTATTTATAAAATACTTAATCAATTGTAACAATGGAATACAAATATGACGTACGACCACGAGAGAGATCGTCCCTTTGATACATTGAACGTATGTGGAAACATAAAAAACGGGGTTTTTTTTCCCATACTATAATAAATCTCTCTTCCTGAAGTAACGTAAGCATAAAACGTTTGAACAATTTGAAATGTATGTTACTGAAATCCCGATATTTATTATTATCGCTATTTTACGAAATTTTCCTTTGATCTTACTGACTGATAATTTCCTTTCTCAGCACAGTAGAGTGATATGAAAAATTATCGCTAGAAACTAAGGGCGCACGTGCTGTTGTCAATGAAATTTACAACGTCGTCATAGGTAAAATAGCGATAAACAGATTATCATTGGTCATCTCAACTCGATTGCTTTTCTCACTTTCGCCGTACCGGCTCAAGCGAGAAAATCAATCTCGTTGAGATGACCAACGATAATTAATCTATTTATAAGTATAGTTTTTGTTTTGTACATGTAGATAATGATAAAACGGTAGTATAACCATTGCATCAAAGATAAACTTAAATTTACTGAGGGGTATAAAGAGACAACCAATTGTTATTCGGGGGGAGGAGGATTTTTATAGATTGACTATATATTTTCATCTGCTGTTACGCATGCTTATTTGCACTTTTGTACACGATTGATTCCTGCACTTTGTGTTGCATGCAAGGTTTTTTTTTCATTTTCCGCTCCAGGCCATATTCTTTTTCAAAATCCTCCTGCCCCCTCCCTTCCCAGAAATCAAATGATTGTCCTCTAAAGCATCACATATATAATAATACCATATGTAATTTTCTATTTTTTTAAATAAATTATAATAAACTTTTTTTGAAGTATATAAACTGAAACATACCCAATTCCCCGTATTTCGCAGACACTATTAGTAGCAGCCATTACGCGCTTCATTGCACGTTCTACGGCATGTGAAACGTGGAATCCATTTTCTAGGAGGTCTATCGATGGTTCGAATAATCGTTTCCATTGTAATTTTCCATATCTTTGATGTGCTTTCCAATATGTTGCAATTTCACCAGGAACAGCAATGAATTTTGGACCTGAATAATTAATATACAAGATGCTGTAATTCTTTCTAAGATAGCATATTAAGTGAGACGTTGTTTCCATCGAAATTGTTAAACATTCAGTATTGCATTCTGAAACGTTCGAAAAGGACATCCTCATACATTGAGACATGGTCCCAATGTCTTAAGCTATATAAAGCAAAATACAAAATTGTTTCTAGAGCCTTATGCCTTTTCTTTTTACTTCAACACATGTATGTTTCTAGAGCCTTTAACCGTGTCTTGCTATATTTTAGAGCCTTCCCCATATCTTGTTACATCCTTAAGACATGATTGTGTGTTTCTAGAGCTTTATGTAGATTTTAGAGCCTTTCCCGTGTCCTGTTACATCCTTTAGACATGAGTGTGTGTTTCTAGAGCATTAACCTTACCTATGTACCCAGATTCGTTGACAAATGTTTCTTGTGAAGAACTTAAAGGTGCTGTCTCTCTTCCATCTATTACTAATGTTTTCTTGTTCTGCGCATCGTATATAACCATGAAACAACCTGCAATTAACATGTGTATCTCTTAATTTTCTTTACATTGTATCTTAAAATGAGGCGAACGATACCAAAGGGAAAATCAAACTGATGAGTCGAAAATAAACTGACAACGCCATGGTTAAAAAAAGACAGACTAAAAGACAACCAACATTACACAAAACATAACATAGAAGATTAAAGATTGAGCAACACGAACCCCACCAAAAACCGGGGGTGATCCTCAAGTGCTGCAGATCTAACTTATTTCTTTTTTGTCGAAATGACATTTTCATTTTTTTCATTATTTTTTTTTCTTGCTTAATGATATACACATGCTTATTTAATTCTTCTGCAATACGTTTATTTACTGTGCAGAATCTTTTCTCTGCAGAAAGGAAGGAGTCGTCCTGGATATACATGAAATGTTTGCCACTAGACGTAATCATTTTTGTCAAATAACATGCCCTTCAGATGTTGATTCGATTTTGCTAGAATTCTCATTAACTTGATATACATTATTTAGTTTTTAAAAACCTGTCGAAACAACTGGTCATTCATATCGAATCTAATTTCAATATGTTAAGTTCTTTTTTTCTGTACTGAAATTAAATTACATGTATATATGTTTTCGATTTGCTTTTTGTTATTTCAGAAATAGGGGAATTAGGGAAGACCGAAGATAAGTTTTAACTTTCTAAACACGCTTATTTTTTATGTGTTTTTTAACAATCCAGTGGTTGTTTCTTTCATCTGTATATTTATTATTATTGATAGCAGATCTTTGGTAATATCGATAAGTGATTTTTCTTACACTTCAATCGATTTGATATGAGGGTGTGGATTGGGTTTACAGAGAAGGAATAATGTGCAAAAAAGTGCAGAATAAAGGGTAAAGACGTAAAGAATAGAGAAAAATAGGGAAAAAATAAGAATAGAGAATAATGGGGTGCTAAAATGTAAAGAATAGAGAATAACAGGTAAAATATATAAAGAATAGAGAAAAATGCCATAAAAATTAAAGAATACAAAAATGAAGGACCACCCACCCCCTCCCCCAATCCAGACCCTCTTATATATATTTTTGTAATCGAAAAATCATCACATACCTCCACCTATCCCCATGCTATGAGGTGCCATGATACCGTTACACAACAGAGTAGCAATAGTAGCATCGACAGCAGATCCACCGTCTACTAGTACGTCCCTGAAAGAAGAAGTATTGAAAATATTCAAAATGTGATATTAACACCATATGAAGAATTATTTGCTACTAAAATCCATATATCAAAAGAAAATTTATACGAACTTGCATACAAATACTCCCTGTAACTGGATAACGCACAATAATTTTTGTCCAACAGATCTCGATATTTTGATATTCCTTGTAACGCAGCTGCTGCGATACTTATCTAGCTTTACCCATGTTAAGAATGAACTGTCATAAAATATTTTAAGTTAATTATTTTGTTATTTGGAGATTTTGGTGTTGATGGAAAATCTTTGATTTTTTTTCTGTTTTTTATAGACACCTGCATAATGTTGACTGAATGCTGCCTTTTAGATGTAATTTGGTTATTTTTGTTGGGTAACTTGTCTTATTTACGTTTATCCTGCATTGTCTTTATTCCTATTAAGCTGAATACAAAATCCTTCTAAATTAACCTTTTGCAGGTGTTATTTGTAAGTTCGTATAAATTTTCGTTAAATATATGGATTTTAGTATAGTCATTTAAGTTCTGATCTGCACAATTATTGATCTATGGAGGTTCTATTTAAGAAATATAATTTTTTTTTATTATAAATTTGATATTTTCCATAAGAGTTCATTCCAAAATATGAGAAGTAAATTACAAATTAAAAGTAATTTTGACTATACCAGATTAGTTAAAACTGAACTAGTGATTCATATTGCATTTATGTATCTTTGCTTGGTAAAACGTACCTTCCAATTCTTGAACAAACTTCATGATCAGCAACAACCGCTCCCTTTCGTACTGTGATTTTTCTAGGCTGACCATTTCCTCCCTTACTCCCAAGAGTAGCTGCCAAAATTATCACTATAACAAGTGCCAATAGAAGACTGGCTAGCAGTCCATAAATTACCCATCGGCGCCTTAAAAATCGTAAAACTTTGTTTTTACTTTTTCGCCGGTCTTTCTTAGATGAAGGTGTTGATGTTATGAAACTACAAAAGTGTAAATGAAGAGGATTCAGAGTTTTGATGAATATTTCTCATGAGCAACACTGTGTTAAAAAAAAAGGTTTATTATCTGAAGAACAACTGTTCTCTTATGGTTGTGGCTTGTTATCTATTTCTTGCATGACTAGATATTTCTCCGAAAAAGTAATACGAAAATCTGCGTTAATTTGATTGGCTTATCCAGCATCTTAAGATAATATTACGGCATTTCCATTGGCTATTCGTTAGGTCATTGATGACTTTCAAAGGTTAAGACGATGTACATTTCGTCCATGGCAACGGACATATGTGATTTCTTCAATAATGTGCAAAACACTCACACTTTTCACCTGACAGTCTTCATTTTGTCAAATTTTAATACATTCTGAAGCGTACTGAAAGTCTTAAAATGTCTGATATTAAAGTTTGACACCGGAAAAGGACACATGACATCATACTGGTGTGCCAGTGCAAAAGACTAGATCAACGATTTGCGGAGTTTTTAATTTAACACAAAGATAGTGTTGACCATAAGAGAAATACTAGTAAGTTTAACAACTTGTGAGTATTGGATGTCGCTTGACATCAACTCTCGTTATTTAATTTTAATAGTAATAATAAACTCGCCGTTGGCTCGTTTATTATCATATTATTATTTATGAAATTAAATAACTCGAGTCGATATCAAGAAATATCCCATTCTCACTCGTTATGAAACCTATTAATATTCACTGCGTATAATTAAACTTCATATCAAAATGCCAGTTTATGGTAACAATCTAGTATAACACATAGCTCATGCAACGAGTAACATTTTTTAAATGTTAACCACTCGTATTGTTAAATCAATAAAAAATACCCCAAAAAAATCGATACTTTCAAGACAATACTAACATGTTTGTATCTTTCAGAAATCAAGAGCTAGTAATTCAATAGTTGTCGTTTGTTGCTGAAAATTATATTTGTTTTTCGTTTATTGTTTTGGACATATATCAGGCCGTTAGTTTTCTCGTTTGAATTGTATTACATTTGTCATTTTGGGGCGTTCTATAGCTTACTATACGGTATTGGTTTTGCTTATTGTTGAGGGTCATACGGGGACCTATAGTTGTCAACATCTATGTCATTTGGTCTCTGGTGGAGAGTTGTCTCATTAGCAATCATACTACATCTTCTTATCTTTTTTTATAATAGAACATTCAGTATTATTATTTAGATAACGCGTATGTGAGAGGGTCATATATAAGAGTGTTACTCATATATTAAAGCATTGTTAACCTCGAAGAATATATAGACATCACTCTATTGTTGAAGACTTTTGAACTTTTGATGTATTTTTTGTTATTTTGACCGTTGGGTTGCCGTTTCACTGACGTATATCCCGCATCTCCTCTTATTCGTATAAACTCGTATGCACCAAAATGCGTCCTTTTGCACAACTTATCTGCGCTAGGAGTACGTTTGCGCCACTAGTTTTCAAAATACTTAGAATCATGTGCGCCAAAAAAATAAAGTATACATCTGTGCCAAATCTACAGACATGAAAACCAACGTCGTGATCTGTTGTCAGATGAACTGCCAGTGGTATCTTTAAAATAAGTGTAAAATAACCTGTTTATTTTTTAACTATATTGCTGCTTTTTTATGCTTTTTTATTTTATAAATATAGTACTTTACGGATAATCAGTCAATTATATCATAAATGCAGTTATAAACATACAAACATCATTTACTTAAAGCCCGTTTACTTGTTTATAAGATGGCTTCTGTATCACTCGCTGTGTTCGATATAAGAAGTACAATTAAGTTACACATCGATTTTTTGGCGGAGAACGAACTCAGTGTAAGGCTCAGACAGACATTTTTAGAAGAAAACAAACACAAACTATACAAAAGAGAACCAATATAAAGTGTATCATTCGCCGAAGGGATAAATAATCTTTATAGTTTTAAGACTTTTTTTTTAAAAATAGAACGGAAGAAGATTTATTTCAGATTGCATGGATTGGGCATGCACAAGTAATACCGCGGTGCACGTGATCATGAACGTTGATTTAATGCCCCTGATCCATGTAAAGTAATAATTCGTGCACATACAGTAATTGATCGTGCATGCGCATACATTAATTAGTCGTACGCATGCAAATAAATCGCACCAATGAATGAATTATAGAAGCGTAAGAACTTTACATAAGGACTAAGATACCCGAAGTTTAAAAAGATATGATTTTAATCAAAAAAAATTATAATTAATTTGCGAAATTGAAATATCATTTACATGTGTTTACATATTTAAGAGTGTTAGTCACACATACCTGCTGTCCTC